CTACGCAAATTTTTGCCGATTCAAGGTTTCACTTGTGTGAGTGTTAAGGTGGTTGTTCACTGCGAATGCACACTTGTCGTTTTTATAAAATCATGTGTATTTTTCACTTTATGACAAGACCGGCACGTTGACGAGTTGGTCACAATATTTGTCGCAATTGTCTGTCAATTGAAATACCTTTCTCCCGTCACGTGGCAAGCCCCTTGAGGTCGTTTTAGGAGTTTAAATGGGTTCAATAAATGTTGAAATTCTACCTCAAAAGTGCTGTTCCCATTGGTTTCTGATTTTCTATTTGTGTTAGTTGGTATAATTGACGTTCTCTTGAGAGTCTTGATACTAAGAACATTGTCAGTGGTCGATTTTTACGATTTAAATTCGCAGATTAGGGCACTCTATGTGTCTCCGAACAGCGACTAGACACTGAATAGCTCCATTGGGACAGTTTAATTGGCTTAAAATTATTACGCTATCTAAAATGATCGTTGAATGGCCCTCTGAAAGAGCAGCCACAACTATGTGTACTAACAAGCCAGCATACCTGTTTACTTGCAGCGTCAACAAACAGGCAGTAGCACATTCCAGTGCGCCGTTTTCACTGACCTTTCAGTCGGAAGCAGTTTTGAAAAAGACTGACTCTCTACCCATTATTGGGGAAGTTTGGGAAGCAACTGGCAGAAACCTCGAATCGTCCTGTCTGTTGCCAATGGTGAATATTGGCGAAAAAATGCTTGCAATATTTGAATGCATTTGGCTGAATACAAGTGAATTTGCTTCATTGTTAATCAGTATTTTGTTTCAGGATAATTTGGGAATCGATGAGTTTAAATACTGTTAACTGTGTTTGTTCTAACTCGATCTGGGCGGCCTTGCCATGACGGAAAAATTGATTATACACTAAATGTGGATGTGAACCAATGAGATGAGAGCGCGGTCGATATGAAAACGCCACACTTTGTTGTCGCATTGTTAAGCTAATTTTTTGCATAAAGGTACGAGCGGCAGTACGGTAAATATCAAAGTTAGTGTAAAAGTACACCTCGGCATAAAAACACACAAACAACTTCAAATTATCAACATCAGATTTAGTCGAAAATAGGTTGGGGCACTAGATGGGTTTAAATTATATAAAAAAACTGTTCTTATTTGCAGGTATCTAATCATGAGGCTCAACGGTGTGAGTTGTCCATCAAACCAGTCACTAGTAACATTGCTGCAACGAGGGAGTGTGTCAGTTTTGACGATCTACATCCCAAAATTACGTTTGATTAATCAATCACACATGGAAGAAAATCATTGTTGAGTAAGGCCACTCAGTTCTTTCAGAATAGGACAACCTGGTCAGTAATACCACCAGATTTTTGCTTGATAAAGGTCTTTACAATGAGTACACACTCTTTAGGTATTGATCGTACCATTTCTGAGAATTTCTAATAAACAAGTCAGTAAAATTTAGACCCGAAAAAGGTATTAATAGAAACTAGCAAACAATCAAAGTGTTTGCAAACAGCCTGTCAAAATAAAGTTTGATAATTTGACGCAGTAGGGACTGATTTTAAATCGCTGAATCGTACTCATTGGCTCACAATAATCCATGCTTATTTGGTTGATGACTTTTACCTGCAACCGACAACTTTGAAAATTATGTCATTATCGTATTTGTTAAGAGGAATACTTTAACCAGACTCAGCAAATGCTGGTCTTAGATGCCATCAAATGCCACCTAAGTCGAACAAATTTGCCCATGCCGGGAATCACTTCAGCCGAGCAGTTTAGTTTGAAGTAAAATGCCAATGGCGCAATTTCTGCGAGGCAATTTGCCAAAGATAAACCTGCACTTATAGTGAAGTTAAAGCCCTTAAGTCGTTTGCTCGCGTCCTCAACCAAACAAAATAATCCAAACTGTTTTTTTCATAAAAACCTATTTGGCAGCGCCTGAGCTTCACTACCAAGTAAATAAGCTGAAAATAGGGCTGCTCGTGAGGTACAGTCAGTCCTGTCAGTTGTCGAAAAGCACTTGAGCTGTTACGAGAATGTTTTGGAAAATTCACGACATCTGTCGTGTTCTTCCTCTTTCCCTAAACAGTATAAAGACAGCGCGACTAGTTTTCTCCAATACAAGTAGCAAAATTACACACAAACAAATCCATTGGATTTTGAAGCTATTTAGTAGTTTAATAAAACAAAACATCAACTCAAGTGCTGCTCACTTTAAATACAGCCACAGATCCACAGTCTCATTTAAATTAATTTTTACTAAAATTTAGGAACTTGAATAAAGGGGTGGTTTTGTTAAAATGGAAGCTTTCCCAACTTCTTAGTAGTAAAGTAGACTCAAACCATCTACACGCAAATAAAAAAATAATGCAGACATTCCTTTTCGTCAAGTCCCTGCCAACATACACAAATTTTGCTTATTTTTTGTAATTTTTACCACCTCTCGTAAGGGGACCCACACAAACAGAATAGGATTTTAACACGGTTTCATAAACTCACGTAATTGGCTAGGAATTAACCAATGAACGTATTTCTGGTTTTGCCGAAATCTAATTGGCTGGAATAAAAATGATCTGTAACGCAACATCGTGCCACGCTCTAGTGGACATTCACAGACTCCACTAAGATTGATTTTGGAATATATTGACAAAAATTTTTAACCGAAGTCGGGAAAGAGGTAAGTTGATTTACGTTTGAGTGATTTGTTTAAAATTTCACGATTTTTTTCTTTCCGAATTTTTAACGTAACACTTTAAAATATCCCTAAGTAACAATCATCGTGAAAATTATTAAACAAGACAGTTAAGAAATGTTTCCTTATTAATTTTTTTACAAGTTTTCAATTTTTATCGGTGAAAATACGTCTGCTTCCACGGTCTAAAGTTGTTAGTCTATTTCTGAGGCCAGCGCAAAATTTACGTTCAGCAAACTTCCACATTTAGGCCGATTAACTTTAGCAACACTCACTTCGCGAGAAATGGCAAGTGAACGGGAAAACATTTAAATAAATTTACGGCAAACGTGTGTAATTAAAATTTTTAAGGGGGAAAATCCCGATATTGGACGAAGAAATTTAGCAGTTGAGTCGCTCAGGAGTTCTTATTGAGTGCTTTAGTCCGCTAGTGGATGTTTCGTTGCGGTCGTATGGTCATCACGCAAATCGTAAGGCAACAAAAGTTTGCTACCGTGGTAACAACAATCAATAGTATCAAAACGTTCCTTCATGCTGGTCGTCCAATCTTGTTTTAATAGGAAGAACACAAAATTACCGCGTCTTTTGAAATCATCACACATGATTCCTTGTCAAATCCTTCTGTATTAATCCTCACTAATTAGGGACTACTGAGGTGCATGTTTTTTGTCAAGTCACGTTTTCAGAATTATTGAGGTCTAGTTATTCTACAAAAATCGCAGAGTGGCCACTGTCTCTTCACTTAAGCACAATATGTGAGTGATGCAGGGTACACGAATGAACCACTAGGCAAGCGCCTAGTTTAAAATGGCAATCATTAGGTCAAACGCCACACACTCTTGTGTGTAATTTCCCCAGCAGAACGTGCTTTGAATCATTTAGAAAACTGGTGAATCGACACACCAGCTAGAGTCCCTGATTACTGGTTAACTTGTAACAGAGTTTTGTGTTGATTCTCGACGCATCGTAGACACATATCCGACTCCAATTCACATAATTCCTAATGAATGTGCACCCCCATGTGTGTCCTTACAGTTGCGTCACGAGAACATGTGACTGTCTTATAGCCATTGCGACCAAAGGCCACGCGCAGACAATAGGTTGCATTTTGATTGGGTGCATGAGGAAGAGTGCACTTTTGTGGTCCAAACTAGGGCTCAGATGGGTAAATCCTCACATCTGTCAGGAAATTGCACACGACCTCAGTTTCGCGTCCCTCGGCCAATCGCATCTGTGTGTTTGTTTTAATCACCTCATCGGCGTTAAAAACACGTTGGCTTGGAAACCCGACAGATTGTCAATTAATTACACCGGATAGTGGTTTCAACGAGGGGTTGTTTATAACCCCTGAGTTGTATCTTTTCCAAGGGGGCAGCGCGAAGTCGTTTAGCATTTACAGATTGCCGAGTTGGACGGTTTACATGTCGTTGCTATAGCCGCGCTGGTGATAAAACAGGCGCCGAACTGCTATTGTTATTGTTGTTGTTGTCATGCGACGAGCCGTAAATAGCTCTTTCAACCCTCCTCACGCAGCTTCAGCGGGAAATATCCCTGCTGGAAGAAATTAAATCAGTGCGATTTATAACTACCACGACTGCTGCTTTGCACCTCAATAATGTGAAACGGTTTAATGTAGCTTGCTGTCCAATCTGCTTCAACTTGCGATTCAAACTCTACGATACTTTACTTCACACAACTACTAACATATGCAATTTCATTCAGCTGGTCTTTTGAGTGATTGGGCGTCAAGGACATCGAGGGACGCGGAAATATTAACAAAAAACCCCCAGAAATTCAAACATTGATGCTTATGAGTTGTTTTAGTAGAAGATCTGCCAGCCCATCCATACAATTGCGCGCGAGTTTCAAGATAACTTACCATGTGGAATAAGTGTCGGAAAACCAGTCTGGCATGTGGGTTACCATGATAAATTAAGCACTTATCAAGGTCAGATTTTTTCACATTCACAACGAATCAGGCCAATCAGTCCGTACTTTGAAGGTCATGTTTTCAGACTCGGCCATCGCATTTTTTTGCAAACGCAGTGTCTGGACACAATTGGGCATAAAAACATGTTGCTTTAACACTGATTCCTTCATGTTAAGAGATCAAGTTATGATCTGGATCGAATTTTTTTGAATTTTTGGAGCCTTCCTCGATTACCACTTATGTCTAGACACCTCTCTGAAGTTGGATTGGATTTGTGTAGCGTTAGGTCCTTAACGCAAAACCTCAATGTGTTTCCCTTTGTGCAGGTGACCTGTCCAGAGTAACTCCGTGTGCTGCGATGTTGGACTGCCTCAACGTTCTCCCATGTTGAACGTAACAGACAGCAAGAACGTCTACTTGCGTTATCCTGGTGGCCTGCTCTTCAAGCGGTTCATTCCCGACGTCTTTAAGCTAAAGCTCTACGCCTCGCCGATATGGTTCATCGTGGGAATCATCGGTAACCTCATCTCCTTTCTCATTTGGGTCTCTCGGAGGCAGCGCGGCAAGAACAGTTCCGCGGTGTACCTCGCGACCCTAGCCCTGACCGACTTCTTGCTGACAATATGCCTCTTTACAGAGTACCTTCGCATTTACTTCTTCCTCAGTTCGCCCCTCTCCGTCAATGGAATATGCCAGCTCTTCCAGGGTGTCTTCCTCTTCCTCCAGTACTACTCAATCGTCCTCACCTTTGGATTCACCCTCGAGCGCTGGATTGCCATTTGTTATCCCTTCAAACGCCAAAAGCTCTGCTCCACGACTAGAGCCCTTGTCGGCGTCTCCGTGCTGGCTATCATTGTCTCCGGTTTCTCGATGTTCTTTGCAGCCACCTGGGAGGTGAATCAGGGTGCCTGCATCCTTGCGGACCGTTGGCAGGAGGACCGAGCGTTCGCAATCTACCTGAGTGCCACTGAGTGCATCTTTTCTCTTATCGTACCAATAGCCACACTTGTCTTCAACATCCTTGTGCTTCGGGAAATCAGCAACGTGGTGAAGTCGAAGATGTTTGTTAGCCACGCTGACTTGCTATCCAGACGCACCAATCAGGCCCCGGTACCGCGCGCCGAGGCCAATCAAACCGCTGGAGCTCCCCTGGTGATCGGAGCTAAGCACAGCAGTGTCCACGCCAGTGCAAAGGAACAGGCCAACTTCCAGGCCGTCACTTTAATGCTAGTAGTCCTCTCCTTCTACCTCATTTTGTGCACCCTGCCAGTGGGAATTGTCTTCGTCGTGCAGATGCGGTTCACCGGCATTCCCGATGACCTTGACGACGAGGAGATTCTGGCCAATCCCGCGTGGCTACAGTACTTGCAATTCATGAAGGCCAAAGAGATCATTGACTTTGTGTGCTCATCACACTACGCCTGCAACTTCATCATCTACATTCTCACGGGCAAGAGTTTTCGTCAGCACCTGAAGGATATTCTGCTGTGCAGACAACAGACTCGAACAGACATGAACTCGATTCACCGGAATGTGCCATTGGTTAGAGGGATTAGTAAGCGCTTTGGCTCCGCCGATCCCCTAATGCCTGTCGGATCAATACGAATGCGGAATTCCGCCGACCAAGCTCAGATAAATGGCACCAAGCCGGATCAGGCCGAGTTAGGTCCAAAGGAGGTGACGTGACCTGTCCCACCTCCCTCTTTCAACGCTTTTGTAATAGACTTGATGCAAGAGAATCCAGAGATTTTTATGTATAAATAAATCCATATGCACATCCACACATTTTTCCACATTAAGCTTGGTTTAGGTGACAAGTAAGCACTTTTGTTGAAGGCCTTGCTCTACAGCGGACTGTCTTGTTGGAGATTAATTTGCTCAGACATCTAATTTAATGTCATTGTTTTCTTATTCTTAAATTAAAACAAAGAAGGTAGCTAAAAGAAGAGGATGGCTGACAGAAGACCTTGCGTTTTTCATCTGCTCAGCTAATTAAGTAATTAATTGTCCAACTCCCTCTCGGTACGGCAAAAAAGCAAAGTAGCACCAACTTTGACGGGATACTCAAATGGAATTTTTCCTTGCTCGACGGTAAAGTAGTATACAGAAGCGTTCAGGATGGCCTCACTATGCAGCTGTCTACTCATTGGCTGATGACTCGCACTCAGCACCAACACACTACCTTCTCGTCCAATCAGTGACGAGCAGGCATGGGACACTTCGCGTAAACTGCCGTAACGCCATTGAATGACTAGATCATGGTTGTGGAACGAAAGTTTCCTGTACTGGTTGCATTGACAGTTATATGATGGCCAGTAATTCACCTTGGTGCCTTTTTCTTAATGTCCGTTCTTGGCCATTATTGCACCAACTTTATTAGCACGCCAACCAATCACGCAGCAGATCTCAATGACTCAAGAGAACGTCAACCAAATGACCCATCACATCTTATGACTTGACTTCCATTCAAATGTGTTCTCAAAATGGTGATAATTTTTTATCCGGGAATTTCGCCATTTGAACGATTTGACAAGTAAATACACAGTTGATTTTGGCGTTGCCTTACTTACTCTCCCCTCACGAACGCAACTAGCTTTGTAAATAGCGTCTTGGAGCTATTTATCCTAGGTTAACTTAAGGTCGTTCAACTCCATACAACGTGCTAGCACGAATTGTAACCTCAGTTGAGCATTTAGGCACGTGCGTATATTGGGACGACCGCACAGGTTGAAATTAGCGAGGCTGATGATTGTGGACCGCCAGAAGAAATGACCTTGAAACAACACCCTCTCACAATTGACAGTCAAGTTTTTATCTCTTGTGGCAATTTTTCAGGATCACCTCTTCGTGCTGATTGCTGA